AGCCCTACCTGAAGATGCTAGGAATTGACCCTGGGCCCCTCAGCATCCCTAAAGCAAAGCATCCCTACCAGTCCTTGGTACATAGGAGCCTATGAAGTCAGGCTACAACTAGTTCAGTACTGTACTGTTTACACTGCATGACGCTGGCTCTCCAGCTTTTCAGGCAGGGGACATTCCCAGCCCTACGTCAAGATGTTAGGGATTGAACCTCTGCATGCAAAGCAGATGCTCTACCACTGAGCTAAGACACTTTCCTCAGGGCCCAGTACCTTAAAGAGAGCAGAAAAAGACAACATTAGCTTCCATGACCTTCGGTTGTATAAAGCAACCTTTTGTCTGTTGCTTGCTATTCCTTCCCTGATTGCACCATCCCAGCAATTATGACACCTTTCTTCCCTAACCAGGAAATGGTCCTTTGTGTGATGCATCATCAGAGGGTCCTAGTCAGGCAGCAAATCAGACTCAGGACATCAATAAAACAACAGCCTTTCCCTTTGATGGCATGTTGGTATAATACATCAGTGGAGCAATGGGTTGCCCCGATTATGTATCGGCGCCATCCATCATTGGCGGAGGAGAACCTCTGAGAATGTATTATTCCTGGCACATCATCATCATTCGATAAACAGAAGCACCATGAGCTAAGAGCCACTGTAAGTTCGCAGGCAAGACAAATATCTGCTCCTTAATGGTCCATTCAGGGAAATCGTAGCTCAAATGCGATGAATTCGTATGGGTTATTCTCTGCTGATTTTGCTGTAGCTGGAGGGGCTGCAGATGGAACCAAGAGTGAGGGGTGGGTGGGGAGAAGCACATTTCTGTGATGGGAGTTGGCCTCTCCCAAACACACACAGGGTTGAGATTGCTCAGCTGCTTGTGACCATGGCAGCACTCAACCCGGTGAAAACAGCCTTAAAACAAGGACAGGCTAAAATCCTTAGCAGAATATAGAAGCTGAGCTTTTATTTAAAACTCACTGACCCATTTCTAAGCCTTAAAGCAGTGCAGAAAAATGCAAATGTGTGTATGCCCTCTGAATACATACGTATTGAATTATACCTATTGGTAAATGTTTATTTCCATGCGAAAAGCTTTATGATGAGCCTTAAAGGCAGAGTTAAGAGGGTTTATTTGGTGTTGGTGGTTGGTTGGTTTAGAATTCCACTCTTCCACTGAAAACAGAAAGGATTTCAAAGTGTTTCACTGTGGCTGGATTGTGATCATCATTAGAAAGACCCAAAAGGAACACAGGAAGCTGCCTTATACTGAGTCAGAGCAATGGTCCATCTAGCTCAGTATTGTCTACACTGACTGGCAGTGACTCTTTGGGGTTTTCAGACAAGGGACACTCTCAACCCTGCCAGATATGGAACCTGGGACCTTTAGCACAGTGGCGTAGCGTGGGGGGTGCAGGGGGGGCCGGCCGCACCGGGCGCAACATCTGGGGGTTAGGTTAGGGGGCGCAAATCCACGGGTTAGGGGGCGCAAATTACTTGCCTTGCCCCGGGTGCTGACAACCCACGCTACGCCACTGCTTTAGCATACTAAGCCATTCAACAATGAGCTACAACCCTTCCCCCCAAACCAATGAATTAGTAAACTCATAGAAACAACTGAAGCTGCCTATATACTGAGTCAGACTCTTGTTCCATCTAGCCCAGTACTGTCTTCACTGACTGGAAGCAGCTTTCAAGGGTTTCAGTCTCTCGCTGCCTGAAGATGCCGGGGACTGAAATGGGTAGAGTTGAGTTGAGAAACAACTATTATACACACACATCCTGCTATTATGCACAGGATAGAAGCTTAAATTTGGGGTCCCCTCCAAGCCACTGCCAAGGTTTTGCAGTCCTTTTGCAGAGTTTTGCAGCCAATAATACCTCGTGTTTTTAATAATAATAATAAATTTTATTTATACCCCGCCCTCCCCAGCCAAGACCGGGCTCAGGGTGGCTAACACCAAATATATAATACATTAAAAACACAAAATCAAACGATTAGTTTAAAATACAATTCGAATCACATTTAAAATCAGAATAAAATTAAGTGGGAACCCACAAATCATAACTGTAGGGGTAAGGAATTAAAAGTTCACCAGGCCAAGCCACTCGTGTTGAGCCAAGGAGGCCACTTACATACAGGGTCCCATAGAAAGAAGGGGGTCAGACTCAGCACGAACCCAAGGCCTGGCGGAACAGCTCCATCTTGAAGGCCCTGCAGCATCCCTAAACTGAGCAATTGATACATCAACCCTGGGGGTCATAGGTAACACCCCCAAAAAACAACCTTCTCCAATTCACCCCAAACCGGGGCCAAAGTTTTGCAAAACCCACATTATGCAGTGCCCTCCAAACTTAGAATCAGTACTCAAAATGGGGATTTGTAGTTAATGAAGCTGAATAGGCTGTGCTTCAGAGTACATGGCAGAGCCAGATGTTGAAAACTGATAAGCTTTGGATAGGTGTTGCAAACCATAATCTGTTCTTAAAGGCCCATCTGCACAGGTGTGTGAGAGAGATGTCACACCATCAACTTAGCATCCCAATCAACATACTGTACAACTGTTGCTTTGTTTTCCAGGCAGTGATGCATTTCCTCTTTATAATCACAGCCACTCATCAAGAGTAAACCTTCCTTTTAAAATGATAAAAGAGACAATGGTCTGCCCTAGACCTGACCCCAAGCTAATCGTGTTTTTTTAAGCAATGGTCAGTGTCCTTTTTTTACAGCAAGGTGCTCAATTCTAGATGTCCTTAGATAAAAGAGTTCTAGTTACAGGTAGGTAGCCTTGGTCTGCCGTAGTCGAAACAAAATAAAAAAAATCCCTTCCAGTAGCACCTTAAAGACCAACTAAGTTTGTTACTGGTATGAGCGTTTGTGTATCTGAAGAAGTATGCATGCACACGAAAGCTCATACCAATAACAAACTTTGTTGGTCTCTAAGGTGCTACTGGAAGGGATTTTTAAATTTTGTTTAGATAAGAGAGTAATCCATGGACTAGGGAGGGGAATCCTCAAGCCCATGGACACTCCCCAGGAGAGATCCCTCGCTGGCCCAACTTTTAATTCTCCTTGAATGTTTTTGCCTGGCCAGAATGTGTCCTTGAACTCTGATTATTCATCCTGTTGGATGCATGGGAGCTACAGAGGTTGTGTGTGTGTGTGTGTGTGTGTGTGTGTAACTAGCCTACCATGCAAAGGTAAAATTTGCATTATTTGCTCCACCTACTTTTGTCTCTGGCTCCACCCAGCACTAAAGTGTGGCCCTTGGAATGCTGTCCAGAAGCAAATGCAGCTATTGGGCTGAAAAATATTCCACAGCACTGGTCTCAAGGGTGGCCCAGCCCATTTTGCCACCTGCTGCTGTGCCTTGCCTCCCACTTTGGCTGCCGCCAGAATGACCCCCTTGCTGAAACTTGGTGAAAGGGGGTGCTCCACAAGGCCTTGGCAATGCTGTGCGCCAGAATGTCCCCCCTCCCTTTACTGAAACTTGGTGATGATGGAAGTAGTGGGATGGGCGGAACGCCTCCTCTTGCACTTCTACTACCTGAGGCTGCTGCTTCACCCTGCCTCATGGGTGGGCCGGCTCTGCCTGGTCTATGCTGACTGGCAGTGACTCTCTAGGATTTCGGACGGGGACATTCCCAGCCCTACCTGGAGATGCTGAGAATTGAACATGGGACCTTCTGCCTGCAAAGCAGGTGCTCTGGCCCTGAGCTATGCTTATCATCTAAGATTCTACAGTGGTACCTCGGGTTACATACGCTTCAGGTTACATACACTTCAGGTTACAGACTCCGCTAACCCAGAAATAGTGCTTCAGGTTAAGAACTTTGCTTCAGGATGAGAACAGAAATCATGCTCCAGCAGGAGCCTCCTGCTGCTGCCGTGCCACTGGAGCACAATTTCTGTTCTCATCCTGAAGCAAAGTTCTTAACCTGAAGCACTATTTCTGGGTTAGCGGAGTCTGTAACCTGAAGCGTATGTAACCTGAAGTGTATGTAACCCGAGGTACCACTGTATAAGAGAGGTGACCGAGTAAAACACATTAACTCCTGTGGATGTTGTCATATTAAAACTGAGTTTAAATGTACTTATAAATTAACAAAAAGGTATGTGAACATGCTTTCTCAAATCAGCTAGGACTCTCTGGATTATTGAGAGGGCCTGGTAGTCACTGATAGTTTTACCTTCCTTTAATTTGTCTCATTCCCTTCTAAGTCCACCCAAGTTGGGAGCCAGGACTTCGCCCTGAGAAGTCGAACTCCATGTTTTACGCTGTGTTGAGTACTTTCTTGTCTCTCTCCCAATATCCAGCTTCATTGGACGACCTAGGTTACAGAAAAGGAAAAAGATCCAGTTTCCTCACACCATGCATAGTTTTAGGCAGCTCAATCACGTTTCCCCCTTTTTTTTCTGAGCTCAGAAAACCCCCAAACCCTTTGTCACAGGGAATAACTCCCTTGTGGATCTGGGTTGTGTTTTGAGGCACTTTGTGTAATATTTGTGGGTCCGATGACAAAACACCCTGAAAGTGGAAGTTTTGTGAAGAAGCTTTATTCAATGGGGCCTCGAAGACCTTCTGCTAAAACGCAAAGCTAAGAACCTAAGCAGCGGCCCAGATCATGTGACCCAGGAGGGGGTGACCAGGAACGACTGATTTGAACCCCATGCGATCCGCTTTCGCTCGGTTTAGACGGCCAAACCAGTTCTTCCGACTGGGAGGCGGCAGCAACAGCTCCCAAACTCTCCCGCTTTTCCAACAGCGACACGCTGAAGAAGAGCGCGCGTGGAAGGGCTTCGGCGGCTTCCAAATCTGGGATCGCCTCCCCCCGGCGGCGGGCTTGCCAATCTCGGCTTCTGCTGCGCCGCCGGGATCCCGAGCGGATCCTTCCCCGCCTCCATCTCTCCGTCCGCCCCATCCTCCCCCCCGCTGCCCGGCTGCGCCCGCCTCAAAAAGGCTGAGCTCCCCCCACTGGCCGGCTGAGGCAGGCGGGGGCCTGTCTGCGATTCGCTCTCGCCGGCTTCGGAGCGGGCGTCTGTGCGCGCCGTCGCCGCCAGCGGCTCTCTCGCTGCGCCTCTCCCCGCGCGCAAAGAGCCCTGCGCCGCCGCCGCCACCATGCGCGCCTTCGGGGCTTGCCTCCTCCTCCTCCTGCTGGCGGCGCTGCCCGCTTGCCCGGCCCGGCGCCCCCGGACCGTCTACACCAACCACTGGGCTGTGCGGGTGCTGGGGGGCCCCGACGAAGCGCATCGGCTGGCCTCCGCTTACGGCTACCTGAACCTCGGACAGGTGAGAGAGGCAAAACTTTTCTTTCTTTCCATTCGCTGTTGTGGATCCTGCACGAGTGTGGGGGGTGGGTGGGTGCCGGGGATGATTTTTTTTGGGGTGCTCCAGGCTGTTCCCTGTCTATAGTTTCGTAGCAGCGCTGCTCCCCAGAAGGAACTTTCCGTGCGCCCCCGAAAGAACTTTCGGTCCAGTTTTTGGCACCGCTTTGCCGCCGTCTCCCCACTGGGAGAAACCCAGGAAAGGTGCAGTGTCGACGGTGCCGGTCCGGTTTAAGGCAAGCATCGCTTCTGGATCGAAGGGGGCTAGGTAGAAAAATCCGCACGCGCGTGGCAGGTAGCTGCGTGCAAGTGGAAATCAGGAGCCTTGCCGCACCTTTAAGACTAGCACGTTTAAGGTGCAAGTCTGTACGTGTCTGCTCGGCAATAAGCCCACATGGAGTTCACTGGGACTTCAGGCAAATGAGCATAGGATCGCCGCACTATTAAAGCCGGCTTCCTTACATGCAAACTGGGCTCCAGGCGATGAAAGCCAGGAGGACAACGACCCAGTGAAACCAGTGGAATCCTTAACAGGTTCCCGGGTTAAGTACTTAATAGATCCCTGCCAGTTTCTGTGGAAGAGTGAAATCTGAGCATATTCTTAGCTCTCTCTTGGAAACGAATGGGGCTTTAAAAGTGCTGAACTCCAACTGGGTGAGTGCCCTAAGAAAATTGTGGCAGATGTTTTCAGGGGCTGGAGTCCAGTTTTGCAGATGTGTGGTCTGTGTAGGTCTCTCTCCTCTCTCTCTCTCTCTCTCTCTCTCTCTCTCTCTCTCTCTCTCTCTCCCCAGCTTTATTTGGTCCCCATGTTTTTGGGACTTTCACTCCCAGTCGTCCCTAGCCAGCATGGCAGTGGTGAGAGATGATGGGAGTTGTAGTCCAACAACTTCTGGGGATCAGAGGTTGGGGAAGACTGCCGTAACCTATGCAAATGTACATCACAACATATGTGTGAGTCATTTTTTTAAAAAGATGTCACAGATTCTTTGCTAGGACTGAATCTCTGGGTTTTAAAATATACAACTACAAACTGCATAAGACTGATTGATTCTTTTCAGAATGGAGGCATGTCAGGTCTTTGGGAAGATGCTAGATGCTTGAAAGGTAGAGTCCCAGCGTTACAGGTTGTATGTCATTTGGGAGAAGGGCGAGCTACAAGTTGCGGAGACAGAGCAAGCTTTTACGCTCTTACATAGTGAGCTGCCTTATCAGACCATTTCTCCAGCTCTCTCGGTGCTGGCTAGTCTTGAACAGCACTGCCCTTCCAGCTCTCAGGCATACAGGCCTTTAATTTGATCATTTACTTGGCATTGCTAAGGGTTGAACCCGGGGCAACCTGGCTTCTTCTTAAGTAGGAAGTTTTAAAAGGCAGTGTTTCTGCATTCGATGCTGGCAATTTGCTGCTGCTGGTTCTGTGGAGGTGGATCCTGGATCGGTGGGAGCCAACAGGAGTTTTCTTCTCCCCTTCCCCACATCTGCATTCTCTGTAGTCATTCCAGTGACACCCCCTAAAGGTAAAGGTAAAGGTACCCCTGCCCGTACGGGCCAGTCTTGCCAGACTCTAGGGTTGTGCGCTCATCTCACTCTAGAGGCCGGGAGCCAGCGCTGTCTGCAGACACTTCCGGGTCACGTGGCCAGCGTGACGAAGCTACTCTGGCAAGCCAGAGCTGCACACGGAACGCCGTTTACCTTCCCGCTAGTAAGCGGTCCCTATTTATCTACTTGCACCCGGGGGTGCTTTCGAACTGCTAGGTTGGCAGGCGCTGGGACCGAGCAACGGGAGCGCACCCCGCCGCGGGGATTCGAACCGCCGACCATGCGATCGGCAAGTCCTAGGCTCTGTGGTTTAACCCACAGCGCCACCCACGTCCCTATCAACACCCCCTACTTAGCCTCAAATCCCTCTCACTCATTAAATCCATCATGACTCTCCCAGGCTATTGTTCTTCCAGATTCTTTCTTTTTTTTCTTTCTTCTTCAGTCTCCAGAGCTTCTTAGGCTATGCATACTCCATACATTTAAAGCTTACCCGTCCCGAAGAAGGGAACTGTAGTTTATTCAGATGGGAGTTGTAGCTCTGTGAGTTGTTACCTACAGTTCCTGGGATTCTTTGACTGCATGTGTGTTTTAAATGTGCTTTAAATGTACGGAGAGTATTCAGTAGCCTGCCCTCCCCATCCCAATCCCCACCAATTAATTTTCAGCTCAACCCCAACTTTTGCTGAATGGTTCCATCCAACCGGCTCTAGTTGACACATGATAGCAGATGGACCCAAAAGGTAATTAGTCAGCTAAAGCATGACAGAAAACATCTGAGGCGGACTCCGAGGGGAACTGCCAAGTGGAAATGAATCAATATTTAATTTTTGCACAGCAAAATGCACCCTTATCAATTTAATACCGTTTATAAAGCTATTTTATATATTTCTTCCCCAACTGCTGTACGTAAGACTAATCAATTTTTCTGTGGGTGTTGGGTTTTTTTAAGGGTTGGGGTGTGTGACAGTGGAGGGGGGAGCGGAGAAGGATTGCTATAAAGATGGAAATGTTTATATTGAGATCACTGCCAAGATTTTTTCATATTTTTATTTTTTTGGTAATTGCTTGAACTTTATACTATCTTTGCAGATTTTAATAGCAACTCTGCTTGGGGAATTTTTAATTTTTGTTATTTTTAGGTATGCGGGTCATTTAGCGAAGGTGGCAAAAGAACCAGCATGGGACTCATAAAACACACCCGTTGGTGTTTCTTAATTGATTCTGTGAATGTCAGGAAGGGGGCAGAATATCAACTGAAAGCACAAGGGAGATCTGATTAATGGCTCTCTCTGTGTGTGCTCGTGTGTGTGTGTGTGTGTGTGTGTAAGTAAGAGAGTGAGATCAAGATCACAATAAGGACAGTGAAACAACCCAGTTGTGACACACTGGAATGTTTAGGTGGCCCCACTCTGAATTCTTTGCATTTCCAGTTTCCATCCAAATTAAGCCAAGTTTCTAGCTCTCTTGCTGTTGTATTTTAAAGCATCTTGAAATCCAGTGAAAACCAGGGAGGAAACACAGCAACATAAAACCCATCATCATCATCATCATCATCATCATTATCTCAGTTCTCTTTATTTTTAAGACCAGAATAGGAAGCCAATTTCTCCCCAGATGTTTTTGGGCTACAATGCCCATAATCTCTGACCATTGAGCATTCTGGCTGGGCCTCAGTTTTACCCATGGACGGCCATCTGTCCAGATTTTAATTTGCTCTGAACTAATTTTAAGATGTATTTTAATTAATTGATCACCTGTTTTTATGTTCTTATGTTCTTTGTATACTGTGTTAGTTTTATGTTAGTCGCCCTGAGCCCGGCTCTGGCTGGGGAGGGCGGGGTACAAATAAAAATGTATTATTATTATTATTGGAGGCAAACAACATCCAGAAGGGCCACAGGTTCCCCATCTCTGCTGTAGGACCTTGGTCAGGAACTAGTAAAACCAAATGGTCACGTTGATAAGGAGTGGGAGGAGAATGGGCCAAAACTATATGGCATCACTACATATGTTTACACACACATACATGCAACCTGCCAGCGAAGCATCACCTGCATTCTCCAAATAATGTTTTCTCCTGTTGGTCAGATTTGGTCCAGAGGCTGTCAGCTGCTGACCTCTGGTGGAGGAGACTGTGAGAAGCGGCATAGAAGAGGGGAAGGGAACCCAGTCCTCCCAGTATCTGAAAACCTGATCCAGCCTTATGGCTTGAGGAACCTCAGTCCCAAGGGCCAAATGTGGCTCCTAGGCCTCTCCTAACCACTGTTCTTACTGGCCCAGTTTTGCACCCTCCTTGAACGTTTTTGCCTGGCTGGAGGAATAGGGAGGTGAGTGTGTGTAGAAGCTCACCTACTGCATAAAGTAAATTCACATTTGTTGCTTCATCCATTTTTACCAGCAGCCCCCACCTGCCACTGCCACGTGGCCCCCAGAAGGCTGCATGGAAGAGGATGTGGTTTTCAGGTTGCAAACGATTCCCCACTCCCGAGTTGCCGTTTAGTGGGGGAGCAGCCATTGGCACATGCTTCCTACAGCATATGCCATTCAGGCAGGAGTAGCGGGTGGTGAAATGGCACCACCCACCCACGTGGTCTTGCAGAAATGACCTTTCCTTTCTGGGAGTTTGCCAGTGGGTATGTAGAGAGGCCTCCACCCACCTGAAAAATACTTCGCTCTAGAGTCTCGTCATGGCTATATCGCCATTTCTCTTGGGAAGATGATCTCACAAGATGATGGAGCAGCAGATTGAATCAGTGTAACTTCCTGCATTTGTAAAAATTCTGGGCTGATGTCTCACCCTCCTGGAGATATGAAAACTGTGAAGCATCACAGGGTGGGAGCCCAGCATGCTGCTGGCCAAGACAGCCCATTGCTGGGGGTGGGGGAAGAGAGGGAGAGTGAATACCCCCATAAATAAGAACATAAGAATACACAAGCATAAGAGGAGACTGTTGGATCAGGCCAATACCCCCTCTAGTGCAGCATCCTGTTCTCACAGTGGCCCACTAGATGCTTGTGGGAAACCTGCAAGCAAAACCTGACCATGAGAGCCCTTTCCTCTCATATTGTTTCCATCCAGGCGTGCCAACCGTGGAGACAGCACATAGCCATCATGGCTAGTGGTCACTGATAACCTTAGTCCTTCATGAATTTGTTCAGTTCTCTTTTAAAGCCATCCAAATTGCTAGCCATCACTACCTTCTGTAGGAGTGAGTTCCATAGTTTAACTACGCTCTGCTTGAAGAAGTGTTTTTCTTCTATTTATCCTGACTCTTCCAGCATTCAGCTTCAATGGGGAGGCTGTGAGTTCCAATGTTATGTGAGAGAGAGAGAGAGAGGAAGAAAGGAAGGTGAACATAGGAAGCCACTTCACACTGTTCATTCTAGCATTCATTGGCAGTGGCTCAGAAAAGGGACGTTCCCAGG